TATTTCCAGATGCATCGATTTCGCATTCAACTTGAACTTCTTTTTTTCCAGCAGAAAAATTTCCATGATCAATTAAAGGTAATAATCAATTACAGTTGACCCCCTATAACACTGTGGATAATTCCGTTTTATATGAATTCCATGTTGTTCGAGTCACTTAGATTTTACAAATACGTAAGCCTTTCACATCCCGGCACACGTATTTGTAAAATCTAAGTGACTCGTACAACATAGAATTCATATAAAACGGAATTAGCAACAGTGTTATAGGCGGTCAACTTGTACTCTCAGTTATAATTATACGAGTATGTACACTTTTTCATAGAAGTTATTCCATTTTTTTGTGTCTGCGAAAAATAATAATTCCATAACTGCTTTTGTATGTCAATTACAGATTATTTCCTATAGGAAAAGACTAGGAAAATGTCCACCTGGAATTACTGTAGGAGGAATATTTACAATATCTCGTAAAAGTATACCCAAGGTAAGAGTGAATATGTTAATTTTAACATAATAAAATTGTTCTAATATCACTTTCAGTTTGATTATTCATATTCAGTCATTTAAAATTTATAAAGAGAAATTAATGACTCGTGATACTTTCAGATCTTGCAGACGATGCAGTCTTATTTTTCCAGCTTAATGGGTATTAAAAGTGGGGTGGATGCTTGCGACGAAATGTTAAAGCAATTTTCGATATGAAATTAACCGTTTTGTTCTTATCATTTTTTCACAATATTTATTACAAACAATGTGTTATTGTCACGAAATTCTTATTATATTAATAATATAGTTTCAAGTATTTTTATTAATAAGACTTAAATACATTTTTTCGTAATTAATTTCTATTGATATGTATTTTATTATTATTTATTACCCTATATTAACATATGTTCATTTAAAAATTCCGATTGTTTGAACTAATCTCATTTTAATTTAGTTAGCTTTCAACGGGAAATACTTTGGATTTTAATAATTTTATCATTTTTAACATAGTATCTGAGTTATACTAATAAGTGAGAAATATGTTGAAATTTCAAATACTATCTGAAAAAATGAAAATGAAATTTTGTTACATTTTTATTTGAATATTTTATTATTTTTGGTCAATCCCGAATGTATAGGATCGAAAATTAACGAATTTGCTTTTCATATCAATGGTTATGATATTGTTGCAGTTAGTCAAATTAAATATTTAACAATAAAAATCTTTAGGAAGATCTGTCTGCTGTATATTAAATCACATTCGTGATTTAATTAAAGCAATGGGATGGCTTTTGTCTTTGTTTCAATTTCTGAATTATGAGTTTACTAGCTGTTTCAGGTGACTTCAACCGCTGGGGTTTTGCAAGCAAACCCCTTTTATATTCAGTATTTCAACAACCATAGTGATTGTTATATAACACCTACCGCTTATAATGATGAGAATTGCTGAGAGTCAAACGAATTATTTTCAATTTGATCAATTTTCGGGAACGTTTACAATCATTCTGTAATCGAACTAACATGCAATAAAAAAATTGAATTTAAAACAATTCGATCATTTCGTTAAAAAATGGAACTACAGTCGACCCCCTATAACGTGGTAGGTACGTTCCGCTTTATAAGAATTTCGCGTTGTAGGTATCCTCAAATACATGAGCCAATCAAGCCCGGCACGTGTGCAGTTTACGGACTACGGTTGTTTGAAAGGTTTCCTTTAATAAAATTAATCGATTCTAGATTAATTTCACTCAACATTTCCAAAACATGTATAATTTTTGTGAATAATCTGTATAAACTATGCTATAAAAAAATTGTAGGATTACTTACCGAGTGTGCACCGTTCGACGACGCCATTGCTTAAGCTTGTTTTCGTCGCGAAGCGGCGCACCAAACAGCGGGCGCGTTTTCTAATAAATTATTTTTCTGCGAAAAATTCATTAAACTTTGGAGACATCATTAACAGAAATAATTTTTATGGTCGTTGAATAAGAAATATTTTTTCATAAGAAATGTATAAAATTACAGTACTGTATTAGACTTACAGTACCTAATTTAGGCGTATATACCAGGGATGGCCAGTCGACCGCAAAGGTTTTGAAAGTAGCCCGCGAAGCTAAAGTTGAACAATTTGCTTTCACTTAAATTAATGTTTAAAAATCTTACTTCGATAGTTTATTCTTACAATAATAGACTCTCTGTGCAACGTATCCATACTGTTTGTATTTATCCCAATGAACAATGCAAATGAATGTTAACGTATGCGCATATAAATGGCAATCGCATAAAATGGCGCAAAATCATGTGTCAGACAGTAACGTGACATATTCATAGTCGCTCGCCGACTATATTTTACCGAAAAAGTAGCCCCTAAGGGATAAAAGTTTGGTCACACCTGCTATATATTGTACAGACGATAATAAACTCAACTTACCCTCCTAAAATCTCCGTAGCGTGGCGCTGAACGGCGGAAAGTAGTTCGGCTGCTCGTCCACTATTGCGATGACGTTTTACCCATTTTAGGAGTCTCTTTTAGCGTCCGTATACGAATACGGTCGCAATTTTTTCGCCGCGATATACGAATCCGCATTATTTGAAACCGCGTTATAGGGGTCTACTGTACATGAAAATATTTATAATATCTGAAATGTTATCAATTTAATAGATTTAAGTACTCGTTGAAGACTAAACGTATTTGAAAGCAAAAAATCGCATCTAAAATAGTACAGTAAAAGCCGTAATCAGGTTAATGCTTAATTCTCTTTCTCCTCGAGAGAAATTTCGAAAAATCACTTCTTAGTGTGCTTTTTCATGGCGTACCCTAACTGTGTACAAAATTTCACCTCTTTAGGTTCAGCGGTTTGCACTGGGCGATGATGAATCAGTCAATCACTCAGTCAGTCATTCAGGAAAAGTCAAGTAATTTTATATACATTATTANAAATCTTGGCGGGGCATTTTTTCACCAATTGCCATATTTTTCCTCAGTAATCTATAACAGCCGAAAAAGTAAAAATTAAGATAGTAATTTCTATGCAATGCACAAAAAGTGACATTCAAGCAACTTACATCGCAACTGTCATAATAGGCGTAAATTAAACAATTATTTAAAAACATTAGGAAAAACAATTAAACGTTACTAGTATTTTAATTGAACACTGAACCTTATGGTCAAACGTCAACTACATTGTTAGCGTTTTATCATTCATTAATAAAATTTTCTTTGTGGATGCTGAAGACTCAAAAATTTTTTTTTTACTCCTCCGCCCCGTGGGCACTAAGAGGGCCTCTTATACCAGGCGAATTATGAGTTTGGCCAGGCCCACAATGGAGCGACCGAGTGATGAGGGACGGGGCCCGACATATCCGAACGGACCACAACCCGAAAAATTCCTGGAGATTCCTTCAGCTATCCGGCTTCAATTCTGGGTCCCCCAGAGCGGTAGGCTGCCATCTTGACTGCTCAGCCATTCTGCCCTCGACCAAAAGTTTGTAAGGTTCTTACAAGGGAACTGTCGGAGTGGCATCTAATAAATTTTAATAAAATTTAGTTAATAGTTACGTTAAAAGTATACAAACTCTATATTAAATTTGTANGTCAGTCATTCAGGAAAAGTCAAGTAATTTTATATACATTATTATATTTAACTAAATATTCTTGACTCCATGAATAGTTGCGAATTGCAACACCTATAAAGAAAATTATGTAAAGTCTGAAGCATTTATAAAGTTTATATTCATTGTTATAATTGTTGTTACAACATTGTTGTACGATGAATTCAGATGCTGCAAAACGGTATCTCTACCTGTAACGCTTATTGTACTATAGTTTTTATAGAAAATATTTTAAGTATCCCTTTGTATACGAAATGATTTGTTTAATTTTACTACGAACTTTACCGAAGAAATAATTATTTTTTGGATATTTCGATTTTTCGAAACACTAGTAAATCGAAAAAACTCGCATTTCTTCGATGTATTCGATATGTTCGAAGCTTTTAAAACAATGTTAACTGTTTCGATTACATCAACTGTTTTCTTTTGCATTAATTAAGTGATATTATGATTTCATCAGCCACAGCATTTAGCGATAATCGTGTTAATGTGAAAAAACAATGTTTATTTAAACGACAGACATCGTTAGCATTTACTAAATTAATAGACAACTGTGCATTACACTTGTGATGTGTTGGGAAGAAAATTTTCTAACTGTACTCACAATTTCCTTATACTCCCATTCATAAGTAAAATTTGTCTTTGACATTCAAACGTCATTGCAACGTTTCTCTGAATATTCAAAGAGCTTTTACTTAAATACTTTCATAATTACAGTAATATTTTCTATAGCTTGCACAGTAAAATAGTTATAAACGTACAAATTATGAATTTAATTTTTTTCCATGTGTTAAAACAATAATTTTTTAAATATATTGTATAAATAAATACAAACCATGACAAATGTATACTGCCTAGATTTCGTAGTGTCAAGAACGTAAGGGATTTTGAAATACTGTGTTTTTCCAATCGAATAGTGAGCATTTTTGTTTCGTGATGGCTTTGCACAAGATAAACCACACATTATATTCTGGTATGCACGACACGTTGCAGCCAAGATCTACCGGTCTGATTTCCATACATTTTTCTGTGTGGGGTTACCTGAAATAATATAGTTTGTGCAGATTCAGTTAGTACATTAAACATTAGGTTCATCGGGAGAGTATCATTGCAGGCATCACCACAGCGAGACAGCACACGAGCAGTACAATACGTAGAAGTGATACACCATCAGGATTTTGCATTTTCCGGTGTTTTGCTTGTCCTGGATCCCGGGAAATCCCTGGATAGAATAAATTATTTTTAAGATATACATAATATCTGAAACCAAATCAAATAATTATTTTTCATTTTTTAAAGCAATTTAATACGTTCTGCAACCTCCAAAAATCACATTAATAATGCCGTGTAAGATATATGTTAAAAATTACCTTTCAATTCCATAGAAATTTTTAAAATACAAAAACTATATTAATGTTTCTTGGAAATTGCATACAGCAACATCAACAACTACAACAAAATGCTTTGAATTGAGTTGAAAATTTAACAAAAAAAGAACTTAGATCAAACTTCTAACTTGAGAGGTAATTTTCGTTTTTAAAATAAAACATAATACAAAATACTTTTGCAAACTCCTATAATAAGATTTTACTAACAAAGATGGTTAATACTCTGGTCACTCAATCTGGTTCTTATTATAGAAATGAAAAGTCCAGTTACCGAGAATGCCTTTTCCGATTCAGTTGATGTGAATAGAATCGTGTTTAATTCATTTAAAAGAAGACAGATATTATGTGATTTTTCACTTTTAACCTAAAAAATTTCTAATTCGTTTTCGAGATTTTAGTACTTCTTTTGCTCTCTAGAATTCTCGATTTTCTTTTATCTAAGCTACTTTAACACAAACATCAAGCTTATATTTCAATAACTGGCAGTTCGTTTGTGTTTAATAATTAGATTTATGAAGAAACACTTTACACTTGCATATGTGAGCCACCGGGAGGGAGGAGGTGTCCTCTCTTTCCGGCCACAGGTCTCGGACCTACTTTCTTGTCAAGGATGGTAGTAACGTTCGGTTACGCGTTACGCGAGTGGAGGAGAGTCGGAGGGGTCGACGATAAGGCGTGAGCAAAGTCGA